CTGACCCTCCCCCCTCTCATGCTCTCTCTCTCTCTCTCATTCTCTCTCAAATAAATAAATAAAATCTTTAAAAAAAATCTTATTAGAATCTTTTAATATAATTTTATGCTAATATAATATTAATATACTATTATTTGACTATATTTATAAATGATATTAATTTGTAATTTCTTTTCTTGTATTATTTTTGTTAGGTTTTGATATCAGAGTTTTGCTAATTTAAAAATGAATTTGTATTCTTTATAACTTTTTGGATATATGGACTATAATTAAGCCCATATAAATATTTGATTATATTTATTAAGGACTATACTCCTTAATTTAAAAAACACTGGAAATAAATTGGGAAACTTACTGTCTTTTTTTCCTCTGCTCTGAAAAAGCTTACAAAAACACAGGAATTATCTCCTGAGGTTTTTAATTCTATGAAAGTTTTGATATAATTTTTCTCTAAAACCATTGATTGATCATGGACTGTTTTGGAATGGGGTTATATTTTGAATGACTTCTCTTCAATAGTTATTATCCTATTTAGGTTTTCTATCTCCTTTTGAGTCAATTTCGATAGTTGGTTTCCTGGAGAAGTGGCAGTAGCTTTTAGGGGATTCTTTTATACTTAAGAATAAAAAAGGTCGGGCGCCTGGGTGGCTCAGTTGGTTTAGCGACTGCCTTCGGCTCAGGTCATGATCTTGGAGTCCTGGGATCGAGTCCCACATCGGGCTCCCTGCTCAGCAGGGAGTCTGCTTCTCCCTCTGACCCTCTTCCCTCTTGTGCTCTCTATCTCTCATTCTCTCTCTCAAATAAATAAATAAAATCTTTAAAAAAAAAAGAATAAAAAAGGCCACATCAATAAGAGAAAGGATAAAAACCTATGATCATTTCAATAGATGCAGAAAAAGCATTTAACAAAGTACAACATCCATTTATGATAAAAACCCTCAACAAAGTAGGTTTAGGGGGAACATACCTCAACATAATAAAGTCTATATGAAAAACCCACATCATACTCATTGCGGAAAAACCATTCAGGGAGAGCTTTTCCCCTGAAGTCAGGAATAAGCCAAGGATGTCCACTCTCACCACTTTTTTTTTTAAAGATTTTATTCATTTATTTGACAGAGAGAGACACAGAGAAAGAGGGGACACAAGCAGGGGGAGTGGGAGACGGAGAAGCAGGCTTCCCGTGGAGCAGGGAGCCCGATGGCTCAATCCCAGGACCCTGGGATCATGACCTGAGCCGAAGGCAGACGCTTAACGACTGAGCCACCCAGGCGCCCCTCACCACTTTTTAAAAAAAGATTTTTTATTTATTCATTTGAGAGAGAGCAAGCAAGAGCATGAGCAAGGGGAAAGGTCAGAGGGAGAGAGAGAAGCAGACTCCCAGCTGAGCAGGGTGCACAACTTGGGGTTCAATCTCAGGACCCCAGGATCATGACCTGAGCAGAAGGCAGACCCTTAACTGACTGAGTCACCCAGGTGCTCCCACTTTTATTCACCACTTTTATTCAACATAGTACTGGAAGTCCTAGCCATAGCAATCAGTCAACAAAAAGGAATAAAAGGCATCCAAATTGGTAAAGAAGAAGTAAAACATCACTATTTGCAGATTACATGATACTTATTATATATAGAAGACCATAAAGACTCCACCAAAGAACTATTAGAACTGATAAATGAATTCAGTAAGGTCACAGGATACAAAATCAATGTATAGAAATGTTTTATTTCTATATACTAATAATGAAGGAGCAGAAAGGGAAATTAAGAAAACAATCCCATTTACAATTACACCAAAAATAATAACATACCTAGAAAATAAACTTAATCAAAGAGGTGAAAAACCTGTACTCTGAAAACTATAAAACATTTATGAAAGAAATTAAAGATGACACAAACAAATGGAAAGATATTTCATGCTCATGGATTGGAAGAACAAATATTGTTAAAATGTCCCTAGTAGCCAAAACAGATTTAATGCAATCTCTATCAAAATACCAACAGCATTTCTCACAGAACTAGAACAAGCAATCCTAACATTTGTATGGAACCACGAAAGATCCCCAATACCCAAAGTAATCTTTTTTTAAATTTTTTTATTGTTATGTTAATTAGCCTACATTACATCATTAGTTTTTGATGTAGTGTTCCATGATTCATTGTTTGTGCATAACACCCAGTGCTCCACGCAGAACGTGCCCTCTTTAATACCCATCACCAGGCTAACCCATACCCCCACTCCCCTCTAGAACCCTCAGTTTGTTTTTCAGAGTCCGTCGTCTGTCGTGGTTCATCTCCCCCTCCGACTTACTCCCCTTCATTCTTCCCCTCCTGCTATCTTCTTCTTCTTAACATATATTGCATTATTTGTTTCAGAAGTACAGATCTGTGATTCAATAGTCTTGCACAATTCACAGCACTCACCATAGCACATACCCTCCCCAATGTCTATCACCCAGCCACCCCATCCCTCCCACCCCCACCACTCCAGCAACCCTCAGTTTGTTTCCTGAGATTAAGAATTCCTCATATCAGTGAGGTCATATGATACATGTCTTTCTCTGATTGACTTATTTCACTCAGCATAACACCCTCCAGTTCCATCCACGTCGTTGCAAATTAGCCAAAGTAATCTTGAAAAAGAAAAACAAAACTGGAAGCATCACAATTCCAGACTCCAAGTTATATTACAAAGCTGTGGTAATCAAAGCAGTATGGTACTAGCACAAAAACAACAAACATCAATGAAAGAGAATAGGAAACCCAGAAATAAACTCACATTATATAGTCAATCTTTGACAAAGCAGGAAATAATATGCAATGGGAAAAAGACAATCTCTTCAACAAATGATATTGGGAAAACTGGACAGCTACATGCAAAAGAATTTCCTTTCTTACACCATACACAAAAATAAACTCAAAATGGATTAAGGACCTAAATGTGAGACCTAAAACCATTAAAATCTTGGAAGAGAGCATAGGCAGTAATTTCTCTGACATTGGCCCTAGGAACATTTTCTAGATATGCCTCCGGAGGCAAAGGAAATAAAAGGAAAAATAAACTATTAGGACTGTATCAAAATAAAAAGCTTCTGCATAGGAAAGAAAGCAACCAACAAAAATAAAAGACAACCTACTGAATGGGAGAAGATACTTACAAATGACATATCCAATAAAGGATTAGAATACAAATTATATAAAGAAATTATACAATTCAACACTCAAAAAACAAATAATCCAATTAAGAAATGGGCAGGAAACATGAACAGACATTTCTCCAAAGGAGACATACAAATGGCTAGCAAACACCTGAAAAGATGCTTGACATCACTCATCATCAGGGAAATGCAAGTCAAAATCACAATGAGATATCACCTCACACCAGTCAGAATGGTTAAAATAAACACAAGAAACAACCAGTATTGGCAAGGATGTGGAGATAAAGGAACACTTGTGCACTGTTGGTGGGAATGCAAACTGGTGCAGCCACTGTGGAAGACAGTATGGAGGTTCCTTAAAAAATTAAAAAATAGAACTACCCATGATCCAGGAATTGCCCTCCTGGGTCTTTACCCCCAAAATATAAAAACTCTAATTCAAAGGGATACATGCACCCCTATGTTTATTGCAGCATTATTTACAATAGCCAGGTTATGGAAGCAGCCTAAGTATTTATTGATAGATGAATGGATATGCTTGATCTTAGCCAAAAGGCTGAGAAGCGATTGATAGATGAAGAGGTGGTATATATACATATATGTATGTATGTGTGTGTGTGTGTGTGTGTATATATATATATAAAATGGAATATTACTCAGTCATAAAAAGGGACAACATCTTGTCATTTGCAACAACGAGGATGGATCTACAGGGTATAATGCTAAGCAAAATAAGCCAGTCGGAAAAGACAAATACTATATGATTTCACTCATATGTGGAATTTAAGAAACAAAACAAACAGGGGCGTGTGGGTGGCTCAGTCGTTAAGCCTCTGCCTTTGGCTCAGGTCATGATCCCAGGGTCCTGGGATCGAGCCCCACATCGGGCTCCCTGCCTGCTTCTCCCTCTCCCACTGCCCCTGCTTGTGATCCCTCTCTCGCTATCTCTCTCTCTGTCAAATAAATAAATAAAATCTTAAAAAAAAAAGAAAGAAACAAAACAAACAAAAGAAAAAAGAAAAAAGAGACAAACCAAAAAACATACTCTTAACTATAGAGAACAGATGATTTCCGGAGGAAAGGTGGGTGGGGGACGGATGAAATAGGTGAAGGGGCCTAAGAGTATACTTATCTTGATGAGCACTGAGTAATACATGGAATAGTTGAATCACTACATCATACACCTGAAATGAATATAATACTGTATGATAACTACATTGGGATTAAAAAAAAAAAAAAGAACAACAAAGGCAAACACACACCCTTACCTGTAGTTTTCCCAGATTTTGGAGGTCCCAGAATCATAATCCTAATAGGCACAGTAGGCTTGGGTTTGGGTTGGCGGATATATTTGATTGGGTTCTTCATAAATTTTTCTTTAGTTTCCTTACTAGATAAAAAATAAATATACTGACGATGGATTACAGCATGGACTGGATTCTCTGAAGTTTCAATTGGTTTGATTGTCTCTCCTTCACTTAGCTGTAATATATACACAATTGAATTCATAGGTTTAAGTTATTCAGCATTTCCTCCAAATACATTTGAACAAATTTGTAAAATAAGAAAATCTTTCTTATAATATATAAGAAAACTAATTATAGCCAAATATTATTATTAAAGACTATGTAAAAAGAACTATTTTATACCCACATGCAATTGATGAAATCTTAACTAGCTTTCAGTTTATGACAATTATAGTTCTCCTACTTCATTTATAATGTATTTAGTGTATGTTTTTCCCAAGGAGTGTAAAGTTATTTGCATATATTCATGGGTCAATTTATCCTCACAAACAGGTCCATTCCTAAGGTTGTGTTATGGATGGAAATGTGTTCCCCCCAATTCATAAGTTGAAGCCCTAATCCCCAAAGTGACTGTATTTGGAGATAGGGCTTTTAAGGAGGTAATTAAGGTTGAGATCATGAGTGGAGCCCTATCCAATAAGACTGGTGTCCTTATATGAAGAGGAAGAGACACCAGAAGTGCATAAGCACAGAGGAAGGGTCACGTGGGGACACAGTGAAAAGGTGATCATCTGCAAGCCAGGAAGAGAGGTCTCACCAGAAAACTGTCCCTGCTGGCACCTAGATCTTGGATTTCCAGCCTTAGAACTGTGAGAAAATAAATTTCTGTTGTTTGAGCCACCACATCTGTGGTACTTTGTTATGGCAGCCTGAGTAAACTAATACAGGTGGGGTCCTGGGTTATCTTTAGGGGCATACTGGTAGGACAAATCCCACAGGCGTCTCATCCACATTTTATATAGGCAAAATCCCACTCACATAGACATCAAGAGCAGTCGCAAAAGGGAAAAATACCTAAAAGCCTGCTTAAGGTATAGGTGTGGAATGGAGTGGGAGGAATGGTCCCACATATTTGCATTAGGTCAAGATGAGAACTGGGTAATTAATTGATGTTAGGTTTGGATATCTTTTTTTAGAGCATCAGATGGCCAAGTATCAGCCCATACTTGACAAAGTAGGTGTGAAGCAGTACGGTTCAATTTGCTCCTTTACCAGAGCTACACCTAGACAGTTGGCACAGGTCAATGGTATTGTCAACATCAACATTTTTGGGCTGGAGTAAATGCTAGGTATAAGAAGAACCTCAGGGGTGGCGTGGGAATGTCTGCTGTATGTCTTATATTTGGTAATAAAAAAAAAAGTGAAAGTCTAATGATTCCATTTCAAATTCCCAAATTGAGAGTCCTTACAGTAGTTTCTGCTATTGCTCAAAATACTTAGCATGTATCCTTTCTCCTCTGTAGGTCAGACTACGCATAGTGTCATTAAATCAGAAATATCAAACTGTCATGTACCCAGGGGCACCTGGGTGGCTCAGTTAGTAAAGGGGCTGCCTTCAGCTCAGGTCGTGATCTCAGGGTCCTGGGATCGAGCCCCACATCGGGCTCCCCCCTGGCGGGGGGAGGGGTCTGCTTCTCCCTCTCTCTACCCTCCCCACCGCTCATGCGCGCGCTCTCTCTCTCAGATAAATAAAATCTTTTAAAAAAACTGTCATGCACCCAGAAAGATTCCCAAATAGCCCTGAAAAATGCTTATTTAAATGCTTAAACCCTTCCTATGACCATGCACTCCTTTCTCCACAAGACGTTATTATATAGTCCTAATTATGTTTGGACATAAGCCTTTTCTCCCTAAATAGGGTTCTGACTTTGTCTGCTTCTTCCCCTTTCTTTCTCATCTCAGAGAGAAGGGCATGGCTATCTTTCAAAAACTTTCTAGGTGATTCTAATACATGCTAACTCTATCCAATTCTCTATGGAGGGCACTGTCATATGTCTCTATATTCCAGCATGATATTTGAAAAGGTTTCTCTTGACATCCTACGGCTAAGATAAAGAAGATGGCACAATTAAGTAGAACTGAAATTCATTGTGTCAATATCAACCAAGAAGGAGATTTCAGGTAAATGCACATGGCTCCATTCTGGATCCCATCTTCTGAAATACTTTTTATCAGTGACCAATAATAGTAATACATATTAATAACAACTATAACTTTCATTGAGTACTACAAAAAGCCAAACACTCTTGTAAGCACTTTACAGCAATTAACTCATTTAATCATTGTAACAATATTATAAGGTAGGGACTATTCTTATTCCCATTATGCAAATGGAAATGACTCAGAGAGGTTAAGTAATTTGTCCAAGGTCGGTCATCTAATAAGTAGTGGTTTTGAACTGAGGCAGTCTGGATACAGAGGCCATGATCTTCTCCACTGTGCTATATCATCGATGGAAATAAAAAGGTACATGGGCCAAGTGAGCAGGTCACTATTACATGACATTTTTTAATTCTCTTTATAACACTTAATATTATCTCTCAAGAACATATTTGTTTGTTTACTTATTTATTGCCTAGCCTCCCTCCCCAATCCAATTAGAATATAAGCTAGAAGACAAAAGAAACCTTGTCTGTTTTGTTCACTATTCTATTCCCAGGGACTAGAATAGTGGCTGGCATATTCTTGGTTGAGATTTGTTGAAAATCATCCCACATTTGGGGTTACTGAATTCTAACTGGATTAAATCTGTTTGTCCACACTGCATAAAAATATGGTCCTTACAAATGCTTGTTATGAACATCATTGTCACATTTTGTATTGTGTCTCACACTTTCCAGAGGACTTTATACTCTTGTATTTGATCACAGTGGCCTGGGGGCATTATTCTTTCATCTTAAAGGTAAGGAACCAGGCAGGGTCTTAGTACAGGGTCTGAGACACTGGGTCCATTAAAGAATCAAAGAGGTTAAATGACTTGCCTAAAATTAGGTGGCAAATTAGTCCTGGAGCTCAGGCCTTTAGATGTGTGGTTTGAAAATATTTCCACTACCCATTTTCAGCTACAAAGTTAAAGCCAAGTTGGAATTGTGTTATCTCTACAGAAATAGATGAAAGAGATTAAACCCTTTGATTACCATTCGTACTTCAGAAAAATAAAACAATTACATATTTTTATAGCTAGTTAAGAGTACTGTATAATGCTTACAATTTTTGAAATTATCGTCTGTCTTCTTCTTAGACATACTTAAAAGAAAGAACACAGCTTTTAGATGCATTTGCTGATATTACCTTTACGGGGTCCCAGTAGCCAAATGCGCTTACATACTTATAGGTATAGCTAAGCATTTTCTGGGCAAGGTGTGATGCTATTGGATAACATTTTTCAAAAATGCTCTCACGATTCTCCACCAGTGGTTTCAGTTTCATATTCATATTATATTGTACAATGTGGATTTTTTGAGCTCCATTAATGAGAATCACTGGGATCAAAAGCTTCTCAAATTCATCCTGATGAAAAAAAATCATAAAACCAAATATTTTTAATGGGACGAAGTCTGGTCACAGCATAGACATTGCTGGTGAGTGACTGCTTCAGTCATGAGAACAAATATTTTTCAGCTTCTGAGTGGCTGCATATTGGCAGCTAAAACTTTTGACTCTATGTGGCTTCCATGTTGCCTTTGATTTATTAATTTGTTTTCATAATTGCAAGTAGTGCTGGCTAAAGAGAAGACAGCCCTAAAGTATGCATTTCTTTTGAAATGTTAAAAAGAAACTAGGACATAAACCAAATTGCATTTGTTCCGTTCTCAAATGTTACATTTTGAATTATGAAAAATGAAGGAAAAGTAATAACCTGTATTACTTGTAAATTACTCATATCTGCTTCAAATTTTTCTCCCAGTTCACCTCTCAGGCGCTCAAGTGCATCAATTTCCTGTTCTTCATCTTCCTCACTCATCACTTCCTCATCTTTTGGAAATTCATCTTCAAGGATGTTGTCAATATCATCTTCATCTTCTTCAGGCTCTTCTTCACTGAAGTCTTCACCTTCTTTACCAATCTAAGGAAGAAAATACTCTCTTTTACTACATATCTAAAATATGCAACAAATGACTCTGCTAACTAATCATTTGGAATATTTTATGTAACTGGATATTGGTTGGTATGGCATTGCAACATTCATTTAGTGACGTAGTAAAATTTTAGATATCTGGCACTCAGAAATTTAATTCCTTCAAGTCTCTGACACCATATTGATCCCATAATAAATACATAAACAAGATATTAAATGCTATTTATTCTTATGGTTGTGAGAAATTTACATTTGTTTATTTAGAGTTTTAATTTTAATTCCAGTTAATTAACATAGGTTATGTTAGTTTCAGGTGTACAATATAGTGAATCAAAAATCACTATTGGGACGCCTGGGTGGCTGAGTTAAGCGTCTGCCTTCAGCTCACGTCATGACCCCAGGGTCCTGGGATTGAGCCCCACATCAGGCTCCTCACTCTTCGGAAAGCCTGCTTTTCCCTCTGCCTGCTCTGCCTGCCACTCCCCTGATTGTGCTCTCTCTCTCTCTGACAAATAAATAAAATCTTTAAAAGAGAAATCACTATTCATACATCATCTGGTGCTCATCACAACAAGTGCGCTCCTAATCCTCATCATCTAATTAACCCATTCCGCCACCGATCTCCACGCTGGTAACCCTCAGTTTGTTCTCTATAATTAAGGGGAGAAATGAAGGGAGGGGGAAATTGGAGGGGGAGACGAACCATGAGAGATTATGGACTCTGAGAAACAAACTGAGGGTTCTGGGGGCGGGGCAGGGGGGAGGGGTTAGCCTGGTGATGGGTATTAAAGAGGGCACCTATTGAATGGAGCACTGGGTGTTATACGCAAACAATGAATCATGGAACACTACATCACAAACTAATGATGTAATGTATGGTGATTAACATAACATAAAAAAAAAAAGTCTGTTTCTTCTTCTTCTTCCCCCACCTCCCCAGGTGGTTGATACCTTCATTGCTTTCGAGGTGGGGGGCTCAGGAGTTCTTGGTGGGGCGCCAGCTTCCTCTTCACTATCACAGGCTTCTGGTGCTCAGGATGGCACTGGCTCTGCAAATGGCAGCCATGTGCAGATCCAGGCGGTACTTGGTTCTTGTGGATCATGTGCCTGATGCTGGGGATGGGGGCCCACACATTTTTGTTGATGATGGTTCACATGTAGGAGGTGGTGGGTTTTCACTGGCCAGATCTCTGCTTCCTGACCACCACTACACCTTTATGGTGGGCCGGTGGCTTCACGCCCACAGCCCGTGGGTGTGAAGGAGTTATGAGCCTTCAGGTTATTGGGCTGGGCACTGTGTGTCTGCTTGTTCCTCTTGATCAGGAAGCCAGAGCAGTTCCACAGGACCATCCATTGCAGGTGGGTGGACAGGGAGCCTCTCACTACCGCCATGGAAGTCGGAAAGAGCAAGTCTGTTTCTTTTTTTTCCTTGCTCATTTGTTTTGTTTCTTGAATTTCACATATGAGTGAAATCATATAGTATTTGTCTTTCTCTGACTGACTTATTTCACTCAGCATAATACCCTCTAGCTCCCTCTTCATTAACAATATTTAACTCAAAGAGAACTCAAAGAGAATAAATCATTCACTAGCTGTGTTAGCTTGGACAAGATCAGTTTCCTCATCTGTAAAATAGGAATAATAAAAGTACCTATCCCACAGGTTGGTGGGAGCATTAAATTACTTAATACATGCAAAACCCTTACTTAGAAAAGTATTGGTCACATGGTAAGCATGAAATGATAGCTATTATTGTTATTATTGTGCCATTATAGCTATTATTTGTTACTTTGTATAAAGCATGCTAACAGAACAGTATATGCCCTTTAGGAGTTTATAGCCCATCTGAAGAAAGAAGAATAATACATAAACGATTATTAAAGACCATGGCAGGATATTGGCACTAAGTGGTGCTATACAGGCTTTAATATGTACCCCTCCTGCACTGCCTCCACATTCTTCTCCCTGAAGTATTCCTTCTATCAATTCGAGCACTGCCTTCCAGTTGGAAACCTGGAAATTTTCCTAACTCCTTGTTCTCCGTAATTGCGCATCGAGTTTCCAAGGACCGTAATCCTAAACAGTGCCCTAGACTATCTCCTTTCCAGTACCGCCCCATGGTCGCCCTTTCATTATCTCTTGCCTGCGATCTCCTGCTTAGCTCCCTGTTTCCTAATCTTCCTGCTGGTTAGACCCTGGTTCCTTTCAAGAGCTCCTAGAGCTGGGCGTTGGCCTTGCACGTGCAAGGAGCAAGATGGGAGGATAAGGCCCCTTCTTGCTCCGTGCCCAGGCTCCTCTCCCCCCAAAAGGAGTTTGCCTGTGGGGCACTGTTTTTCAGTTCTGGTTCTTTTTTATTTGAATTTTGAAACCATTTGGTTCTCTTACTACTTTTTTCCTTACAATTTGACAAAAAAAATCCTGAGATTTGATTTTCTAAGGATCATTGGAAGTATGCTGGGATGAGTCCACGCTGCAAACCAGGGACAACTCAGTTCTAAATGAACTTGTACTCACCTCTCTTGGCTCTACTTAATAGCTCTTACAACTTGTTTGTTAATTTAAAAAACTATATCAGTTTAAAAATAGATTCATTTTGTGGTGCCTGGGTGACTCAGCTGGTTGAGCGCCTGACTCTTGATTTCAACTCAGGTCATGAACTCAGGGTCATGGGATTGAGCCCCAAGTCAGGCTCTGCACTCAGCTTGGAATCTGCTGAAGATTCTCTCTCTCTCCCTCCCTGCCCTCTCTCTCTAAAATAAATAAATAAAATCTTTTTAAAAGATGAAAAAAATAAAAACATTCATTTTTGCTACAGGATAAAATTATAAAGCATTATATAGGGTAAAAAAATTTCCCTATTTCCCATCTCTATCTCCACTTTCCTACCAAGAAATAATTTTGGTTAACAATTTGGTTAAGATCCTTTTAGATGTTTACACCCCACACACCCCCACACACAGAAAATTATATTTTACACATAAATGGGATCATTTTATATTGTACAACTTGCTTTTTAAAAATATAATTTAGCAGTGCTTTTAAATTTCCTTCCATATAAAAACATACATTTCATTATTCTTATTTAGCCATTTTTGCATTTAAAAATTTTTTTTTGCTTTTTGTTTTTTTTAAGATTTATTTATTTATTTGAGAGGGAGAGAAAGCAAGTGCACGGGGCGGGGGGGGGGGGGGGGGAAGAGGGAGACCGAGAGAGAAACTCGAAGCAGAGTCTGCGCTGAGCACGTGGAGCCCGATGTGGGGCTTGATCTCAAGAGCCCAAGATTATGACCTGAGCTGATACCATGAGTCAGAGGCTCAACTGACTGTGCCACCCAGGAGCCCTTTTATGGGTTTTTTGGTCATTCTATGGAAATCCGTTTAGGAAATAACAAATTAAACAGTGAAAGGTAGACTCTTCTGACCCTTGTGATATTTGTTTTCTCTCTCATACTAGTGATGATGAGGAATTTAGCTAACTTATATTTCTCTTTCTTTCTCTTCTGCCTATTCCCCAGTGTTAGTCATATTTTTAATTCTTTAATTCTACAACTGAGTGCCTACAACTTTATTATTTTATTTTTAATTTTTTCTAGATTTTATTTATTTGACAGAGAGAGATAGAGAGCATAAGCAGGGGGAGCTGCAGGCAGAGGGAGAGGGAGAAGGAGGCTCCCCACTGATGAAAGGGCTGGACGTGGGCTCATGGGCTCAACGTGGGGCTCAATCCCAGGACCTGGGATCATGACCTGAGTGGAAGGCAGACGCTTAACCGACTGAGCCACCAGGCACCCCTGAGTTATCATTTTTAGATGTGTGTTTTGATTCCCCACAATTCAAGAGAATGTCCTTACTCTTTTCACTTGGGTTTCCAAATTTTTGTCTCCAATATTTCTACATTTACATTTGTCTGTAACTGTATTTAACTATTTAGCGCTTCATGTAGAAATTGATTCTAAGAATTGGAAGCAAACTTTTGATTGACTCTAAAAATTGAAACCCAATAAACAGCACCAGCCATATTTTAATTACATAACCCTTATTCACTACAGCTATAGAGAGTGACAGCGGGGATACAACCTTGTATCAACAAATGTGCACCATTCTGAAGTATCAAGGTCAAACATTATATTTTCTTATTATGTAAAATCATGCATTTTAATTTGCCCCATATGTGGATAATGCTTTTTTTTTTTATCTCTCCCCTACCCCATATTTCTGGTTTGGTTCTGTTTTTTAGATGGAAGAAGAATTATTCACAAAATCAAGTGGCTACTTTTTTCAGGAAGAAAATATAAAAAGCTAATTTTCAAAGATCTTAAATATCTAAAAGTGTTTCCATTTTATCCTCATACATTATAAATAGTCAAAAATCATTTTCACTCAGAATCTTGAAGGCATTGTCTTTGTCTTCCAACATCTAGTACTGTTGGTGAGAAGTCTGATACAAATCTTATCCACATTTCTTTGTAGGTATCTTTTCTTCATTTTAGAAACACTTAAAATCTCTCTATAATGAGCACTCTCAAATTTCATGAGGATGTATCTAATGTACATCTCTTTTAATTTGTTCTGCTCAGTATTCATTGAGCCCTTTGAATTTGAAGATCCTCTGCTTTCTTCAATACTGGGAACGTTTCTTTCAATATTTTTAAGATTATTTCCTCCTATATTTTCTCTTTTTTTTTTTTTTTTTGAATGCCTATTGGATGTTGACCCTCCTGGATTGACCCCACATATCTCCATTTTTTTCTTTCATATTTTCTATCTCTTGTGTTTTTGTTCTATATTTGAGAAACTTTTTTGACTTTTCCTTCTAGTCTTTTTATTCAACTTTTAACTAATTTACATTATATAGCTTCCATGAACTCTTTTTTGCTCTGATTTTTCATAATGTCCTGTTTTTGTTTTCTGGATAAAAGTTCTTGAATTTTCTGAGGGAGATTGGAATTTTTTTTAATGTTTAGTAAGGTTTTCTGAATTGCCTATTC